ACCCTCAAGCTTTACTTCCCCCCTCTTCCCCCCTCTTCGGCTTCTCAACCCTCTCACTTGACTCTTTGATTCCCCTCATGGGTAAATGAAACTGGATTTCACATTTGGTTTATCTTATGATCCTTGATAGCAAAACCAGCCTCATTAAAAAATGTTATAATTATTGTATGTAGCTAATTGATGAACTAAAAAGAGGTTGTGTGATAGTCTAGGAGCATTAAGAGACAAGGAAGAATCAGCTTGCATTGGGGAGTTGAGATAAGTTCATGTTTAGTGTGTGTTATGGAGACTATTGAAGTGTGTGTTATGGGGACTATTAAACAATTTCCTACCATCACATGTTCATCACCTTGATAAGGAGATGGTAGTTGCAAGTTATCATGATTTGAAGTTAAGTGGAATGAAGCACAGTGTCCAAAATCCCCATTCAATGGGTTTGGAGTTGGTTGCATCCATCAGAGAAGTTTTAGGGAAAGAGTTAAAGTTAGTTTGGTGCCTGCATACTTCAGCTATATCTCCATTTTTGCAAATTTGATAGCTAGCAAGAATAGTTGCAATTCGACCTCCCCTATTCTTAGTAGACTGAGCACCTCCTTTGCACAGATGGCTATTTGGAGTTTTTCCTCATCCTCTGGTGAGATTTCATCCACCCCTTCATAGAACAGTGTAAAGAGCCACTTGTGTGATAATATTTTTGGTTGTTTCCACAACAATATTGATTTCCTCATTGCATAAAAAAGAATATAGGTTACCTGCACTCTTTGGCTCAAGTCTTGTTTGAATTGAGTTTTGAATGATTGATAGAAGGGTGAAAGGTCATTGAGGATATATAAGATTATAGTTCATTGTCTATGTGACCTCTCGTTGTAGAAATATTGGCAACTAAAGATTTTATCTCAAGAAGATATTGCGACATGATTGAGTTTCTCATAGAGATATGCTGAAGTTGTTTTTAAGTTGAATAACTTTGGAAAGATTCGAGGATTACAGTTCTTTTGCTAGTGTATCTAATATGGTTGCAGTAGATCCAAGATTGAAAATGTAGTGTCGAATAGACTTAGAGATTGTGGGGTAGAGGTCAGTGTTGATGGTTTAAAAAAATAATATAAAAAAGGGAGAGAATCAAGTCAAAAAAGAATTTTAACTACTCACGCCAAATTCATCAAATAACCGCTCCAGCTATTTTCTTCCTTACTCAAAAATATTTCAAAAATGGCTCAGGGTGGTTTTCTTTGAATCACAGTGAAGCCAAGCTATTCGAACAGCAAAAATCAAGCCGTGCTTCTGTCCTTAATCCTTATTTGCCTGTCAAGCGCGCGTCACTATTGCAAATAGAACTAACAAGGCTGCAACAATGGGATCACTGCGTATAAGAAGCTATGAAACTTCCACTTCTCTCTATATTGCACACCAAAGTCAAAGCCCTTTCTCTCTTACAACAATGACTCTCGTGATCTAATTGTCGTTGAGCACGTTGATTTATCGATGTTCTTCTCCCAATTGCACTCAAACCTACCTTAGGAGATCCCAACCCTTGGAAAAGCAACAATGGGATAGCAGCGTGTAAAAACCATCAAAGCTTCTTCCCATTCGAACTGAAGGTCAGAACCTAATGTTAGCATGTGATTCTTCCCTATCCACTAAAATCGCACGTAATGGAAGCCCCTGTTTTCATGCAACGAAAAAGTTAGCCTTTACGCTAACAGAAAACCAATGATGGGATCAGTACATACAAAAGCCTTTTATGTTTACCTGCTTCTCCGCTCGTTCCTAAAATTTTCTCAATATAGGTGTGGCTAGGTCAAGCTATGAAGGAAGCGACGAGAACAAGGTATATATCCAAATATAGATGTTTGAATTGTACAAAAATACTTTGTTGCATCCTATTCTTAATCACACACGTTGTTACTGTTTGAAAGCTCAACCAAACGACATAAAGTCAAAACATGAGCTTCTCAACATTCATTCCCAGTTTTACTCTTACTCCTTGCCTCAGATGTGATCCCAAGCCACAACTTCGCTTCTAATGGTAAACACAAATAGAGTTATGGTATTTCTAAATATATTATGTATTATATATATTATATAGTATAAAAATCAAAGGTATAAAGAGAAGGAGAGGAAGTAAGAAAGAAAGAATTAAGTGGTAATTCATTGAGCCAGTCAATCACATTTTATCAAAAGTATTGTCATCTCACGAGCAGAGGTATAAATGCAAAGGAAAAAAAAATGCTTGCATTATTTTCATGCAGGATAATTGAAGAAATGCTCATGTCTCATAGACCGGTAGATTAGAAAATTCTCCAGCCACAGTGTCTCACGACACCGACCATCGCGTCTTATAAACGGTTGGGCCGGCTGGCAACCATGATATAACCCCCTCAAACAGGAACGACGCCGAGAGTCTACTGAAATTTTGATTAATTTTGGATTTCCAAATGCTTTAAAAAAGAAAACTAAATTATTTAAACTTTGAAAAGAAATAAAATGAAAATGAAGGGAAACATAAATTGTGAATTAAAAGTTTCAAATTCAACTTTATTTGGAAGTGATCAAATAAAAATCAAAATCATAATGAAATAAATATTTACGTGATCTATTTAAATACATAAATTGAGGCTAAAATTAATTTGGGCTAAGCTTAGGCGCTGATAAAATGACTTAAATATGAAATATCATAAATTGGGCCTAAATAACATAAATATCATTTTCAAAAGCCAAAGTAAAGCTCAACATTTCAATATTGTCACCGGATCTGCAATTCTAATTTGCAAGCAGATAGAAGATGGTTCTTTTTAAATCCCAAAATATATAATTTTGCATGCGCTTAAGTATAGATAATGCCTCAAAAAAATTGCCTTGAAATATGTGCAAGTAAATCACAACCTTTCAAGTAATTTTGCAAGTTGTCACATTATGTGCAATTACTAAAGCGTCATGTTATACTTTGGAAAGGCATAACACATTATGATAGTATATATGTGTATAATCTCAAAATTAATTATAATTTACCTACACAGCTTCAGATAGAATTCCAAATGTTTTCATGAATAGCTTAGCAATGTTGTGCGGGTTGAAGTCAAACCTGCACTCAAACAGTTTATATTTTAAAATCAATCAATTGGGTCTCCCTATCTATAGAGCAAGGTTGTAAGTCTCACTCAACTAATCCAATTTTTTTAAGAACAAGAGTTGACGAGTTTAATAATTTTGAAATAATATGAATACCTAATATAAAAATTTACAAGTTCAAATCAACTAGTCTGACCTTACTCATTAGAACTTGAGTCAACGGGACAAATATATCAAAGATATCAAAATTGACAATTTTCAAACATACCTTAAACATGAATGCTTTAAATATTCAAATCCCCGATGATAGTTGAGTTGATAAAAATTTTCAACCGAAGGGAATTATTTTCAAAATTAAGTTTTAAAGTAAATTTGAATGAATTCAAATGATGATAAAAACAACGAGCTCAATCCTCTATAAGCAAGATAGAGTTGATAAGGTTCAATGCCAATTAATGTATCAATCCTGAACTCGATTCTACGTAAGTAGGGGAGAGTTGACAATGTTCAAATTCAATCATATGTTCATGTTAAGCAAGTAAAGTTGAAAGTGTTCAAATCAAGCAATTAAACCCCCAATGATGGTTTTGATGACTGAAGATTTTAAATAGAGAAGTCAGCTTTCAAATCAATTTTCAAATCTATTTCTTAAAACAACAAATCAAAACACTAAAATTAAATCGATCATACAAAGGCTTAAAGAAAACAAATCAAAATATAAAAATTAAAATAAATCACTTCAAAATTTGAAGCAAACTCCATCTACCTTCATCAGCCGTTTGTCAGGGTGGACAGGTTTCTGATTGAATTCAGCTTATAAAAAGTGATTATAACATTTGGTGTATCATTATATTCATACAAAAAAGTAATCCGAGTCAGCTTACGACCAAAGCCCTATAACTTGATGTTTGTCGTCAAATGACACTATCATATTACGGTCACTGTCGCAACTTGTATGCTCCCTAGCAGGATTCTATCCTTTGAATTGTGAACCATAAGAGTACAATTGATCGGCATAACATCTTTTGTCACCAAAGGTCGACTTAAATTTGTACCCTTAGACAAACATCCATCCTAGATATACAAGGGTCCCTTTAGACGACGCAACTCATGGTTACTGACAATGATTCTTCAATGAGGTTGGGATGAATACCAACTCTAACTAAATAAATCAGGGACCATGAAGACCCGGGATAACACTCATGGGATCTTGATCAGGTTCGTCATCATTTCCCTCGCCATCCACTTAAGTTCCAAGTAATAAATTTTACAATTTAAAATGTATGTCTGTTGTTAAGATATGTTAAATATTAAGTGGTTAATGACTAGCCTTAATAGAAAATGCTCTTTCATTATCGGAAGAGGTAATTAACCATATAGGTTTGCGCCTATGAGAGACCTCAAACCTCATATCAGAAAATCCTCATAAAATGAAGGTGAAATCTTAGGGTAGTGTCTTATCTATTATTCTATCTGTCTTTTAAAAATATGACCCTCAAAGCTCTCCAAAAAAAGGAGAGTTCGAGGGTGTCAAAATTTTTGAAGCCCGCAGGCAGCTAAGAGATTATGATCTATAAGCTGCTAGGTAAAAACTGGAGGGTTTGGTGAAGCATGCCATATAGTCTGTGATTTGAGTGGGTGGGCATACTGAGGACAAACTAGAAAACCCTTCAAATTCATTTGTGTTGTATAGTTTGAGAAGTGGAAACTTTCAAATGGGGTAGTCAGCAGATAGTTGAATACTGGCAATAGTTTGACATTAGACATTAGAAATTTGAGGTAAGGAGGCATGGTGATTTTGGTCATGGTCAATGAAGGGGAGATTTCTATTTTGTTGGCAAAAGGGCAGCACCCTGAGAGATTGGGCCATTTGGTTAAATATGAACTCAAATAACATAATCAAATATGAGAACACCCAAAATAATAACCTCTTGCAAAGGGCCTAGAAGCAGATGAGTCGGATCACTGTACAATAAAGCACGTTCACATAACTTTATAGATTTGTGGAGGTCCTTCAAGTGTGCCCATTTTGGAAGCCTCATTAACCCTGAAAACAGAATTAATGCTAAGCACAAAGACGAGCAACACAGATGAGAAAATTACAGGGAAAAAAAATTTGCTGAAATGAAGATGAAAACTCAAATGAACTTGAGCATTATACCATATTCATCAATCGGTGCATCATAATCATAGCTTGTTGTGATGAATGGCCCCCCAGAAGTGCGACCAAAGTTCGTACCACCATGATACTTAAAAGAAATAGAATTGCAGCGTCAACCAAAGAATAACATCAAAAGAACCGTTTAATCTCAACAAAGGATATACCATGTAATAATTTTGAAGACTGCCGCCTTTCTGGAAAAAACGGGCAACAGAAAAAGCAATATCTTCTGGTGGTCTGTGAGGATTGCTTGTTCCAAAGGTTTGAAACCTGGTATTGATCAAAAACTCACATGGAAGCAACATAAGGAAACGCGTAATGAAATAGTCATACTAAGAGGGCAAAAAGATTGCCAGGAAACGCGTAATGAAATAGTCATACTAAGAGGGCAAATCACTTCTCCACATTTCATGCCATTAAAAAAATTGCTCTTTGTAGATAAAAGCAATTGAAAATCTATCGTTTGGTAGAAACCTGTGAATCATTAGGATGACGGTCACTGCTGAAGTGTATCTTGCTCCCTATGCTAATAAATTTTTATTATCTTACAAATTTGAAATACCACCATGAATTTGGTAGTTAAGATACTTTATTTTTTGAAGCTGGTGATTCTTAAACTCTATGAAATTGTCGCCAAAGAAATTTCAACAGCACGAACTAAAACTGAAACTTACATTATTTCTAATAAGACCCATAAATAGATCCTTACATTAATTCTACTAAAACCGATAAACAGAGCCTAAAAATTATTGACCTGAGATGATTTCAATATTAAATCAGATACAAACTAACCACAGAAATATACAATAATCTCGTATATGACGCGACGCAGATAATACATCACTATATGTTACTCAACCTAAATACTATACTTATAGACAAGCATGGCGTGTTTGGGTACAAAACAGTGGCGATCCGAGATAGCGGGAGACCATATAAGGGATCGCGATGTACAGAAAATCATGGGTTCGCAGACTCCGTGACCGAAACTCGTGAAAGCTAGGAAGAAACGCATAGGACCACAGCGTACTAGGAAGAAATGATGGGATCGGCAGTCACAAATCGCGTTAGCTAGGAAGTAAAGACTAGATCGGCATACAGCGGAACTGAATCTGGTGATACGGTTGCAATTGGAGCAAGATGTGAAGGCTTAAAGGATTCCATTTTTGGTGAGCAAAAATCATCCTGGGAGGAATATCTCAGCCAAAAAAGTATATGAGTTGGAGAAGAAATTGGAAGAAGAGATAGTCAAATCAGATGTGAGATGGAAAAAATGTTCTCAATTATAAAAGGAATGTTCCTCCATAGAGAACCGATTTGAGGGCTGATTCGGGAGCTTGAAGGAGATGGTGAAAAGCTTATTGAAATGCAATCCAAGACCCCGTCGAAATTCTTGGCTAAATAGAAAGGGAAAAAAATCGGAAGAGAAAAAAATAAGGAGAAATGCATCCACCATCAAAAACCCCTTACTAGGGCTCCAATGGGGGTGGAGAAGAGATTTTCGATGGAGGGGGTTGGGCTAAAACATAGAAAATGGGTTATGCAAGGGTTATGGAGGAGCACGAAGAAGGTAAAAGAGAAGCTGGAATAGAGTATGACTATGATCGAATGTGTGAGCTTTATCAAAGGTACACGGGGGGAAACACCAAAATGGGGAATTGGGATGGAGATGTTAAGACTAGGAAGTTGAAGATGTCTATCTTCGAGGGGAAAGACGCACACGGATTAGTGTATCGGGAGATGCGATATTTTGCGGTGAATGGGCTAAATGGAAAGGAGAAGCTCATGAAGGCAGGGTTCTGTTTAGAGGGAAAAGCCCTGGCATGATTTCAATGGGAGGGAGACTAGATAGGCAATCCCCTCGTGAGAGGAATTTAAGGATTGTTTGTTAGAATGTTTATAAGCCATTTGAGAAAAAGACCTATAGGGGAATTCTTTGTCTTGACTCAGATGGGGACTATCATGGAGTATAGTGAAAATTTTAAGATGCTATCTGAAAGTTTGAGAAGGATATTGGAAGACGTGTTGGAATGAACTTCATGAAAAAATAGAAACCAAAGATTCTAGCATCCTTTCGTATGTTGAAACAGCAAGGATTGAGGGTAACTATGGAATTAGCACAACTAGTTGAAAATAAAAATGCAATTGAATAGGCCAATATGAGCAAACACAAGTAAAGCGTCATACTGAACTGCTACAATCATGACGATGCCAAAATATTAAACAGTGAAAGTCAAGAGGGAGGCTCCACATGGCATGAATAATGGGCTACAACCAAGAGCGACATTTAAACGCCTTACAGAGATAGATTCAGAACAAGCAAACAAAAGGGTTATGTTTTAGGTGTGATGAAAAGTTTGTCTCATGACACCGTTGCAAGGATCAAATATTACAGGTTCTCATAGTGTGTGTTGAGGAGGCAAGGGATCATGATCCAACAGCAATTTGTCATTACTCCCCTTGAGGACAAGGTGTTTCTTTGAGAGGAGAGTATTGTTACGTCGGTGTCTAAGGGCAATTTTATCTTTTATTAACCTAAGGACAATTTAGTCATTTATTATTATTACTATTGTGAAGATATATAATTAATATGTTTAGGATTGACTGAGATTGTGGTTAAGAGTCTTAGGGTTATAGTTTGGGAAAGATTTCCTACCACTCCAATTGTAGGATTTGGGAGAGATCGTCTACCTCTCAAATTATAGATGATTATCTCTATGTATTCGTGTTGAGTTGTTTGATGTTCTTACAATAAAATATTTGGTTGTTCTAATTTTTCTGTGAGAAGTCGTTCTGATTCATATCAGTCCTATAGAACAATAGATTAGAAGACTTCCTTCCAGCTGCAGTGTCTCATGACACTAACTAGCACGTCTTATAGACAGCTGGACAGCAAGCAACCCCCTAAAAGGGGACGATGCTAGGAGGCCACAAAATTTTTGGTGATCTTGGACTTACAAAAATGATATAAATTTGAATTGCTTAGTTTGAACTTTTATTGACATAAAAAAATAATAAAAGAAAATACAAGTTACAAAATATAGAATAATCACTCAAATTATGATTTAAGTGCTTATAAGAGAATAAAATTAGGCAAACTGGACATATAAAAGCTTATTAAAAATTTGATAACCAACCAATTTATGTGATTGGGCTTCTCTTTGATTTCAAATTCAACCATACTTGAAGGTGATCAAATAAAAATGTCATAATGCAAATGACTTTTTATGTGATCTATTTGAAAACATGAATTTGGAGTGTGGCAAATTAACTTAAATATGAAATCAATAAGTCGTGAATAAGTTTGGGGGCTGAAAAATTGACTTAAATATGAAGCAATCAAGATTAGGGCTAAACTTGAGGGTTGACAAAAGGAATTAAATATGAAATATCACAAATACATGAATGAAATTTTCAAAATGATAAAATAAAGATCTAATACGCCAAATTCAAAACCAAATTAGCAATACACCTGCTTGAGTAAAAAGGTGAAAAGAAGACAATTCCTTTTAAAGCCCAAAATAGAATCTTGTGTGATTCAAAGCCACAATATTGCAAACATTTCAAGTTCTGCATCAAGGTTTATACAAGCTTCAGAACTGCTTCTTAAGTTACATGCACTGTTTTGAGACATGTGTGAGTATTTCTAAAACATAAGAATAACTTTGGAGCTATAAATGCTTTAAGATGTTTACAAAATAAATCAAGAATGCAGAATTCAAAATCTTGCATATATTTCTTGAAGTAAATTTCATATCCAAGTCATGGTTTAAAAGATCGTGGAAATCCTTAAAGCTTGTAAAATCTTTTGAACTATTCAAATATATGAAATTTAAAACACCAGCATGAGCTCCAACAAACATATAAAATACATAAGATTAGGTTCAAGAATGTTGCAAGGGCTAACTTAAATTTAATTTTATGAACTCATATATGCTCCACCAAATTAAATAAGTGCTTAAATTTCAACAATTTAAGAATACCGCACAAGTTAAGGTTAAACATTTACTCACTTGATCTAATAAGCGAGGAAAACTCTTTTAGAAAAATCTATGATTATTTTTAAGAGTTAAGACCACTTATATTTTAAATAAAATCAAATTCAAGTTAATCAAATCACACATGCTTTCAATCGGGTCGTCTTCTCTATAAAGCAAAATTGTAATTCTCACTCAACTAGTCAGATCATCCTCCTCTCAAGAATTGGAATTGAATAATGTCCAAATCACAAATAACAAACATAACAATTTACAGGTTCAACTCAACTAGTTCGATCTTCCTAGAAACTAGAATTGACGAGTCTAGTAATTTTTTAATAATATTTAAATCACAAATATAAGAATTTGTAAATCCAAACCACATAAACTAGTCATCTTTCTCATAAAGACTGGAGTTGACATGAATAACATTTTATAATATTCAAATATCAAATTTTAAATAAATTTCAACCATAAATGTTTCAAATATCTAAACCCCGAAGATGGGCAAGCTTATAGAAAATTTTAAGTGAAGATGTCTATTTCTATACTAAGTTCACAAGAATATTTTAATAAACTCAAAAGATATAAACTATAAATTCAATCCTCTCTAAACAAGAGAGATTTGGTAATATTTAAATATAATCATATATAAATCTTAAAATCAATTTACAAGTAATATAAAGTTGACAGGGTTCAAAGAGAGCAGTCAAATCTCCAATGATGGCCACTTTGACTTAAACTTTTAAATTAATTTTCAATCAAGTTCTTAAAATAACAAACAAAAATATTAAAATAAAAAGCAATCATCTAAAGGATTCAAGTAAATAAATCAAAATTTTCAAGTTAAAATAAATCACTTGATATTAAAACAAATGTCATCCAACCCCCACAACAGTTTGTCGAATATGACAAATTTTTTATTGATTTCAGTCCACAAAAAGCTAATTTTACATCGAGTGTATCAATATATTCACACTCAAAATAATCTCACATTAGTAAGGACGTAACTCGAGTCCTCCTTCCATGTGGTTTGGTCCAAAGGCTCCACAAAAAGTATTAGTTGTAACCATTGTCCTAAATGACACCATTATATTACGGCACAACCAAGACTCATATGTTCCCAATGATTTTCTACCCTTTAAGTTGTGAATCAAAAAGGTAAAATTGATTGGCATAATGCCTGACAGTCAAGGTTAACTTAAATTTGTTTTCTTAGAGGAACACTCACCCCATATTTATAAAGGTCTCTTGGATGACGCAACAAATGGTTGTTGATAAAGATCTTTCAGTCAGTTTAGGTTTGACTGATTGCTCCGACTAAGTAAATCAGCGATCACGACAATCTGTGATGACGAAACTATCGGATCTTGATAGGATTCGTCATCATTTCCCCTACCATTCGATTTAAGCTAAAAGTGAGAAATTTTATAATCTAAATCCTATGAACGCAGCTACTCTAAGTTGAATATTCAGTACTTGATGATTGGCCTTAATCGAAAGTGCTCTCTCATTATCAGGAGGGATAATTAACCATAAGGGACTGTGCATATGGGTAACCTTGAACCCCAAATCAACAAGTCCTCGCACAGTGATAGTGAAATCTTAGAGTAGTGTCCTATCAACAATTCAATCTGTCTTCTAAATATTTGAACCTCAAAGCTCTCAACAATAAACATCACACAGAGTCCGACGCGCCGAATTATTGGAGCCCACATTTACAACTTATTTTTTTATGTTTGGTTTTGATATATAATGTGAATTATGCTAAGGTGATGTATATGATTAAAGATATTATGTATGTGAATGCTAAAATTTATTAAAGATATTGTGTTTGCATATTTTATTATTACTGGATTTTTAAATGATAGATGTTATTATAGATTGTTATATATGTTAGAATTGTGTATCTCTACCATCTGCCGTCTGTTTATGCCTTCAAAATTCTAAGCTCCCAGGTCAGGCCATGACGAGACAAATTTCCCTCATAGCCTATACTCTCCTCTTCTATTTCTCATTCTATCATCTGCTTCTCACTTCTTCCCTCCCTTTCCAGCTACATGAATACAAGATGAATAAGAGGCAAAAAAATACAAGTCATTCACATTTAGCTTAAAATATATTATATCTGATATTGAAACCAACCGTAAACCATATGCTCCCTTCTGATCCATTAAGAAGTTTCAACTAAAAAAGCCAAGGTTTACAAGCTTAGCGTGACTTTTGCATGCATGAAACTACACTTAAGAGCAGCTGCTTACTTCACATTAGAAATGAAATTTTAATATCAGTGATTTATTATGTGCTTACCACCCTGGCCAATTCTCTGTCCAAATCATTGGTTTGTTGGGAGAGTTTGGTACAAATTGATCGCAATAAAAAGAGTTGCAAGTATTAATCTGTCAAAAAAAATACACCAATCAATTCATTCAGCATAAGATTGTAATTTTAGAATTGGAACAAGTTCGAAAAGAAATAAATCTATGAGAGGCAAAAGGAATCACGCAATCAAAACACAACACAAATGGCTGACATAAGCAATGATATGCTAATTCTTGATCCTTACCACATGTGCAGGTGCATCATACTGCTGGCACATAATCCAAGGAACACCAATGTCTTGAGAAAGTGCCATATCTGCAGCCCACATTGCATAAAGCTTCCCACCATCTCCATAAACTTTTTCAATATCGCCATATTCATTCTCAACCTAAAACGAACAAATTCTAATTGTTATTGAGCTGTTTGGTTTTAGAAGAGACCAAGACCCAAAAAAAAGAAGCTAGCGCAATCAAAAAAGGAATGATTGCAAACAAAATATACTAAACACTACAATGACATTAAAAGCCATGATATTGCAATGCAACCACAAGTGGTTTCTTTTTTATAAATTGATGTGTATTAGTGATGTTTTCGTTGTGATTTTTACTAGTACAACACAAAATTTCTTACTATTTTACAGCCCAATTTTTTATAACATACCACCCTATTCTTTTGACATTCGCTAACATACACCAGTAGTCAGACAGCAATAATCTCAGATAATATTTCATTCTTAAAAACAAATTCTACTCAGGTGATTTCGAAAAATACGAAATTGATGTTAAAGGCATATGAATTTTCTCGTTTTACTTACAGAAAAGGATAAATCAATCTTAATGAATGTAATTGGGTCAATATTTTTTGTATTGATTTATTGCAAAAAATGGATAAAAATATATTTAATTATTAAAATAATGCTAAATATATATTTAAATTAGGCTCATTCGAAAAATGAACAAAAATTAAATGTTAAATAGTATTTATTCTTTATATTTGGCACGAACTAATAATTTATAATGTGAAGCAAATCATGTACAATAAATAGGATTTGAATGGAATTAAGTATGATGAAAATTGTTGACACGTCATGTTTTTAGAAAAAAAAGTATGTTGGAATGAGTTTGTTTGAATATTTGTTGGCATAACTTTTATGAACCTCTCAAACCAAGCTCCTAGAGACTATTTATTTGAAGTCATGAATAGTACTTTTTTAATTAATATTCTTCTCGTGTATACTTATTCCTCCTGAGTCCTTGAAAAACTTTCATGTAGACTTCATCATTTAAGTCTTCATTTATAAAAGAATTATTGGCATCTAGTTGGTGTAGATTTTAAACAAGATTTTCTGATTTAGAGCAAAATACAAAAACTGCGTTTCTTGTTGTAACTGGAACAAAAATCTCAAAGTAGTTAATTTCATAAGTTTGAGTGAACTTTTTAGCAATCAATCATGTGTAGTATCTTTCAGTGGAATCATCAGACATGCATTTAAAACTAAATAACCATTTAAGCCCAGCAACAATGGCATCATATACGTTTGAATAGCTCTCCAAGTTCCATTCCTATTAAGGCATTCATTTAATCTTCTATGGGCTCCTCCACTATGTTATTTTAAAAGTTTTTATGTAGTAATTGGAATTTCAAATTCTGCTAAATTGAATACTAACGTTTTACTTAAGAATATAAAGTTATATCTCACAAAATTTGTGACACAGGGCTTCGGGGAGCTCACCTGGGCTGGACCGGTTTAGCTAGGTGGGCAAAGACCAGCCGGTCCTTGCCTGGGCTAGGTTGGCCACCCAAGCGTAGGGGCCTACCCCTCCTTAGTTATCTATTATTATAAATATGCTCTTTTCTTTGTTTAGGGTTAGTTTTTTATGTGTGTTCTTTCAGCAAAGTCGTCGGTGTCCTCATTTTCCCTCTTAGGGTTGATTCCGAGGACGAGTGCTGCTCTAGCCGTATCTTGCTCCGAGGTGCTGAATATCATCAATTTTACCCACACATAACCCCCTCCCTGCTGCCGCACTACACCCTCCTTCCTGCTCACCGCAGTTCAACTGCAGCACCCTCCATTTTCTTCTTGATGCAGTCCAAGAACAGTCACCGTTCCCTTTTTCTTTCGAACAACCACAGCCCCCACTTCTTCCCCGCCCCTTTGTTGCAGCCTACCACCACCCTGCCGCCTTCTCCCTACCGCCCTTAAAACTGCAGTCCATCTGACCCATGTTGCCCACCAAACCACAGTCCACCAGCCCCTTGTTCTCCTTCAACAGCATCCCTACTTTCTCCAACTCGCAGACCCCTTCGACAGCTCCCTTTGACAGCCGCCTCAGCACCTTGATTTCCACATTACTCCAGTGTCGGTATTTATTTTCTTTCGTTATTTTCTGCTTTTCTATCAGTGTTTATTGTACCTCTAATTGATCTTCTTAATAAAGGTCTTTTTTGTCATTGTTTGGCCAATTTCGGTATCAATTGGTATCAGAGCTAGCCTAACCCCACTCCTATCCTAGGGATTCCCAGCATCCGTCATACCCAAACAATCTCCACCAACAAAAATTTTTTTCTGCCACCAAAAATCCTAAAACCTAACCATGTCACCAAGAAAGATACAAACCCAAGCCTACCTAGGAATAGATACAACGAGAGCTTCATCATCTTCAGCAAAGGCTTGCGAAGATGGATGATGGAGCCCAAGGAAATGTTACCCTAGATCGTGATATGAAGAGTTGAATGTGAGAAAGGGACGAGAATCTGGATCCCTTCCATAAGATTGACTTCAATGATAAGGAAGGCAAGCCTAGACGCTTTGGAATTCATCATCAAAGAAGGCCGAAAGAGGAAGCACCATATGAAGAACACAAAGATTTTGATATCAAGGAGGATCTAACGGAGTTTGATGGAGGTATGGATCCAGCGACTTTATTGAATGACTACAATCAGTTGAGTAGAACTTCGAATACAAAGATATGCCAGAAGACAAAAGGGTCAAGTTTGTTGCCATCAAATTGAGGAAGAGTGTTTCCTTGTGGGGGAACAACTTGCAGAGGAAGAGAAAGAGATATGACAATGACAAGATTACCAGGTTGGTGAATATGAGAAATTAGATGCAGAGAAAATATCTACCTTCTCATACCGCCAAAAAATGTTTTTAAAACTACACATACATCAGAGAGATCTATCAGTATAGAAGTTCACAACAAGGTTTGACCAGTTGCAGATGATGTGTGAGTTGATCGAGTCAGAGGAGCATTCTATAGCTTGATATCTGGGAGAATTGAAGCCTGCTATCAGCAATGTTGTGCAGCTGCGAGCCCAGTGGTCGCTGGGAGATGTACAAACCTTAGTCTTGAATTAGAGAGATAGCAGAAACAAAGCGGGCAACCACCACCATTTAGGGAGCCACCCGCAGTTGGAAATATTAGTAGGAGCAAGACTCAGAGAGTTGAGAAAACTGGTTCAGATAAGAACAAAGACACGCCAAGTGAGAAAAATCCCGAGAAAAGTAGCAAGCCTACTACAGCCTCAGTCCGAAAATGTTCTAGATTGCATGGATTTGGGCACATTGCCTCCAACTACCTGACGAGTCGAGTTGTGTATTTTATTGAGCAGGCGATATAGATTAGCAACGAAGAGACAGCTGGGAAGCGGGGTGAGGTGTATCATCTTTCACTGGATGAGGGCGAGATGTTCGTCGTTTGGCAAGTCCTATAGACTGAGGAAACGAGGGATCGACAATGGCTTTGTCACAACATATTCTACACATGTTGCACTGTGAACGAAAAGTTATGTAGTCTCATCATCAATTGAGGGTGCAGCAAGAATGTGGCATCCACGCAGATTGTGGAGAAATTGAGTCTCATGCCTCGATGGTCCCAACCGTATTCTCTAAAATACTTGAATAGTGTCAGCAATGACTAGAGGTGCCTAATCCACATATGCATCAATTTTCGGTATCTAAATAAAACATATCCAAAAGATAAGTTCTCGTTAACCGTATCAGAGCTGATGTTGGATATCACCTCCTCGCAGTGATATTTTTCTTCATAAATAACTTATTTGATTATAAACCAAATCAAGATAACCCCTCAATATAAAGGTTCACGACACTTAGAAGCCTAATTAAAATTTATTGCTACAATGACATGTCTTTCAGCCTTAAAAATGTTGGTACACCTATTAGCAATTCATGACCCTAATCTCTGATAATGTCATCCACAATCAAATGGAGTGCTATATTGATAATTTGGTTATCAAATTCAAAGAAAATGAAAATCATTTATATGATCTAAAAATTATCTTTAGTTAGTTGCATTGTTAAAAACTAAAAATGAATCATTTGAAGTGCACCATTGGGGCAGCTTTAGGAAAGTTTTTAGAGTTTGTGATGAAGCACCGAGGATAGAGATTGATCTCGAAAAGATGAAAGCCAAATATGTAATCTCCAAAAAACCTAACACAATTGGAATCTTTTTAAGGTAAGTTGGCATATATAAAATATTTTACCTCAAAACTATCAACAAGTGTAAGCCGGCATTGACTAATAAAATTCTATATTCATTTGGAATGATAAGTGTCAGCACGCAATCGACAAGATCAAGCAGTGTTTGATATCACCTTCAGTGTTAACTGTTGCTATTCCTAGGAAGTTACGAATTATCTGCACTACAATATTAGACAAATCCTTCGGAGCTTTATTAACTCAAGGCAATAAGAATGGCAAGAATAATGCTCTATATTATTTGAAACCAAATAGACACCTATTAAGAAGCACTATTGGGCCTTAGTTTTTGTGGCCTAAAAATAGAGGCATTACATGATTTTACATAAGATGCATTTGATCTCCAAGATCAATCCTCTATAGTATCTGATAACTCGACCAACATTCAATGGACCGTTCGTTCGCTAGTTGATAATATTGTTTCAATTTGACATCACTTACATTCCTTTGCGAGTTGTGCCTTGGCTAACTTCCTAGCTGCTCATATATTAATGGTCAACTCACCTTTATATGATGATCTCCCAAACGAGCAGGTCATGAGTCTAGTTGGGCGAGTTGAATCTTGTTGAAAGTTGCATTTCGATGGTGCCACATCCTCTTACAATAGTGGAGAATTCCGATCTTCCATTCCCGACAAGGTTGGTATTGATTGATATTCATAACTCTATGGGCTCCGAAAATTAATGACTCTCCCCATGAACTCTTTGCATTAATTTTTATTTTGTTTTCTCAAGAGAGTTTCGAAGGGTTGAATTTTTAGAATGCAGATTGGATTGTAGATTTCGCCTGCATTTTGCAAGAACTTTTTGATGAGCTGGAGGTTTCTCATAAATGCAAGTCTCTATGGTTAATTACCATTTTCGATAATAGGAGAGCACTTTCAATTC